AAAAAAGTATATTCGCTGGATTTTATTTTCACGGAATCATCTTTTCAGCAAAAATAAATTCCAAGTGAAAATAAAGTATTCTACAGTACATGTATACTACCAGCATGTATAATTTGTTGGGAATTATTGCTCGTTTACTATTTCTTAACAGGTCATTACTACCGTCACCTCATTAGTATTCAAGATTATTTGTTGTTAATTTCAGGTGATCCATCAGAACTGTTTGTAACATGGAGTACAATGTCTCCCACAAACCACTCAGTCGTAGAGTATGGTGTGAACACAGGTGTGTTAGATAAAACAGTAATTGGACACAGTACTACGTTTATAGATGGAGGAGCGGAAAAACATACGCAGTACATTCACAGAGTTTTGCTAACAAAACTGATCCCAGGAAAACACTATAGTAAGTACCGGTAATCAATGAGTTTGTTTTGAATTCAATATTATTTTGTATTATAAGCATCACTAAATACAGTGAATGGCAGAAAGATGTACTTTAGTTTATAAACTTATATTTATAACAGATATGTAAAATGGTTATAAGATCCCCAGCTTTATGCCTTTCACTGTAAATTTGTAAATACCAATCATTAGCTTTCATTCAAATTCAAATATTTAATAGTGATTGGCTTGAGAGCTCCAGATTGTCTATGTCTATATTGTTGTTGAATTGTTATTGTTGAACTAATTCATTAATAATAATTAGAAATCACGATGTCACCATATCATCTGTGGATTGGTCAATTTGAATTCTACCAGTCATTATAAAAAGGTTATATAACATCCCCAGTTTTATTCATTTTAATGTAGTGTGAGTTAATACAGTAGATATAAATTTCCTGTGATTTTGTATATCCAACTCTAATGAATAGGATTTTGTAAAAAAAGAATAAATATTTATTTCCCTGTTAAGATAATTGGCCTTTCTATAGTTTATAAATATTAATGATTTATTAAATGACAGTTATGTTGAATTTAAGTAATCCTCGGGGGCGGACATCCGGGCATTTTCACCTCCTGGCAACCCGCGGCGGTGAAAACAAAGGCCAAATGCTCGCAGAAAACGATACTTTGAGATGGTGGTTGAGACTCTCCTGAACAGTATAACAAGATTAGCCCTACGTGTGTAACATATCTAAATTTGGTTGTTCGGGATTACTTCAAAGTTGAGTTTGTGTTGTTTTTTCGATTTTTTACTGACTCGACCGGCGTTCCACAGCAGCGCGAAAAGAGCTCATAGAAATGCATGTACAGTGGTGCGCGTCTTAGCAACGTGGAACGTTTTGTGACGTAGCTCCGCCCCCGAGGATAGGATTATATCTATAGTATAACTTGATGCATTTCAATCATATATATAATTTTATTACTTTAGAGTACCACTGTGGATGTGCTGAGGGTTGGAGTGCAGTATATTCATTCACTGCTATGCCAAGTGAAACCAATTGGAGCCCACGTTTTGCTGTGTATGGTGATCTAGGCAATGTTAATGCACAGTCACTAGGAGCACTACAGAAAGAAACACAGAAGGGTTTCTATGATGTTATTCTTCATGTCGGTAAGATTAGTTATAAATCATCTCTTTCCATAAATTAGCCTTCTGCGTAGACTTCTATTCAACCTTCCACACAATCTTTGACAACATAGCCATCCAATGTGCCATCTACATACATGTATAATGTACAATATTTCTTTTTTATAGCTTGCACAAATTATCTCCAAATTAGCCTTCTAAATACCTGTTCAATATTGTCTTTGAAGCCTTCCATATTGCCATCAATATCGACCTGTTCAAATTATCTCTAATAGATTTCCATGTAGCATTCCTTCCAGATAGCTTTTCACATATGTATAACCTTTCTTCATCATACTGTAAAATACTTTATTTTCGCTTGGAATTAATTTTCACTATTTTCGCTAAAGGAATGATTAAGTGAAAATAAAATCCAGCGAATATACCTTTTTTTTCCTATATTTTTCATTCAACTCGTCAAAAATCAATGAAAATAAATTCCATACAAAACACCCGTAAAGTCTTTTCAGCGAAAATTAATTCCAGCTAAAATAAAGTATCGGTATTTCACAGTACATATATAACCTTTCCGACAGCCTTCTATTGATCTTCGCACATGCACAGTCCTTCATAATTGTCATTCACATATCCATTATTATTTTTTGTAAATTTTTAGCAACAAATGGTAACTATAATATGTAATTACATATTTCTAGGTGACTTTGCATATGACTTTGACTTCAACAATTCTCGTACTGGTGATGAATTTATGCGACAGATTGAACCGATAGCTGCTTACATTCCTTATATGGTGTGCCCTGGAAATCATGAAAAAGCTTAGTATGTATAAAAACAAAAATGTTATCCCATCCTACTGCCACTGGTATACATGTATGTTCGTGTAAGTTACTTTTGGGTGATAGGTTACACCTGGTATACCTGCTGAGATTTATGTTAGAAAGTACAATTGTTGGTATAGCTAGTCCAGTCATGTCTCAATATGATTGTTACTGGTACATGTATGTCTATTATATCGGTGGGCAGTGTGGATAAATTACTGTTTTGTTGATATTTTAGAGTTCTACAACATTTATTTGTTGTATGTCCATCCATCTCATTCAATTACTGTCTACCAATATGCGAATCGATTATATTAATAATAATAATAATATTTTATAATTATTTTATTTACACATTTCAGTAACTTTTCACACTACAAGAACCGGTTCTCCATGCCGAATTTTGAAAACAGTCTGAATCAGTGGTATAGGTATGTAATGATGTGATCCTGTTTCTCATTGCAACAAACAGAACACTTTCCCATCTGCTGCATCTGTTCTTCTTTTTAACAACAATTCAGCAAAAACAATCATTGTACATGCAGTGTTAAGTTTATCTGCTGTGTCTGTGAGTGTTATTGTTTCTGAAACAGTTTACAAACCCTCCTCCTCCCCGAATCAAGTATTTATATCTAGTGTACCGGTAATAAACAGTGAAGATTCTAATATTAAGTCACATGAATTGCGAGATGATCGAAAAATCGCAAAACAAATGAAATAAACACAATATTAATATTGAAAATGACTGGTCTTCCTCTTGGGATTTTTTTCTAGTATGTATGTGTGTATTACATATTTATTGATTTTTTCGAATATGATGATTGCTCATTTCTGATTGCACAAACCTTTCCAAATGTTCAACTTGCTAAGTAGATTTGATTGAAGAACATTTGGAGTGGACCTACTTATCATTGTGCATAGATATCTCGGGTGTATTCCATAACCTTATTGTCACAATACATGTATTTATTTATTTCATTGGCATGATACCTGTTTACTTTAATAGTGTACTCACAGTCCCTCTAGATAAAGGGACTATGGTGTACTTCATGAATTTATTCATATCGTTTATTTGTTGGGAAATTTGTTATTGAGCAAATTGAAAATATTTGCATTTGCATCAACTTTTTTACACACTTTTTTATGACATTATATTTTTAGCTCCGCTGTCGACTTTGTCGAGCGGAGCTTATCATATGAGTGATTGTCCGTCGTCGTCGTCTGTGTCAATGTTTTACTTTTTCGACTTCTTCTTGAAAACTACAAGCCTGAATGCTTTGATACTTGGTGTATATGTACCTTGGGTAGACCTCTCTTAGGTTTGTTCATTTCATGTTGATATCTTCAATTCTCTAATTTTGGTG